ATATCTTTAGTAATACTTCAAAAGCGTCGATGACGCTGGGAAACTTCATTGATCGTTGACTGCCTTTCCACATATAGGTGATTATAATAATTCATAGCTCAGTTCATTTAAATATTACAAAACTCACATATGACGCATGCTGGAGTATTAGCCTTCAAGGTCGGTTTTTCTTGTTGCAGATATTTTATGATCTCCAAGTACTTGTCTTCGGGAACCTGTCCTTTAAGGGGTCCACCTAGAACTTCCTCGTAGCTGACCTTGTGATGAAAAATTTGTAAACTCAATTAAAATGTAATCATGATTTATCTAAATTGCCATTTTTCTTGGGATCTGTTGTGGTGGCGTATTATTTTAGCAAGGAAGGATTGAAACTTTTATTTAACCTGTATTATCTCAATTAAATTCAGCTGGACCGGTCAGGTGCAAAATTCGCCTCTACTCGGCTCCGGTAAAAATACATACTTGGTGCATTGTTACTGGGCTTTAAACTGCTCTCCTGCCACAGGGTGCTCTAGTAATCTGTTACACTATTGTCGTTTGACAGATATTTTGTATAATATTTTAGAAGTTCTTGATATCACAGGGTAGCTATAAACTGGTTTGCAAACTACCTGCGAGTATACATACATGTATATTCCAACTACAAAAAGTTAAACCTAGGACATTCGTATGTCCTTGCTAAAACATATAAACCGGACATTTTTTAAATATGAAATATTTCAGTTTCAAGGGTATACCTAGGTAAACATGCGTTCTTTTTAAAAAAAAAAAACTCAGACCTCATATAAGATATCCGACTGGAGAAGTGTGAAGTCAGGTGTGTCGCTACATATTTACTGACTATCAAGTCTTTTGCACTGCTGCATTATGTAATATGCAGTGATTTATTTGGGTAGTGCTCCTTTGGGCTGGTCAAAGCTTGTCTCGAAGAATTAAAAATTTTGCATTCAAGCGGTCGGTTTTACAGTGCGTAATATAAGTTAAGCAGTGTTTTACAAAAATGTTCATCTGTGCTAGAATGGCGCGAAGAAGACAGACATTGCCAGACAGGTTATTGTGTCCAACGAAATGGTTCGCACAGTTTTAAAAAGTTGTGCCCAGAGTAATGTGCCTGCACAAAGGCCACGCCCAATGTATCGACATCGTCCCTGGTCCAGGGTACAGGACTCGTTGTTCTTCAGGATATGCTGCTGCAACTAAACAAAAACCAACCAGTCCTTTCCGAATGAGGGGCAAATAGGGGATGTCCGGGATAGCCTATTTTGAACATCTGCGCAGCAGATGACGTCAAACGAGACCTGAATTGGAGCGAGATTTCACGAGAGGTGGGGTTAAAATCTGCCACTGAAACTTCCCTCGCGGTCAGGCACAAGTCTATGTTATAGGATTGCATTGAGTAAAATTTGGCGTTGTCATGTAATTTGAGATAGAGCAACGCAATGGCGAATTGCTAGTGTTGTGTCGTAGGGTGCATTGCAGTTACAGTTAAGCGAGAAAACCAGGAAAATGACCATGAATGACAGACACGACTGGCGAGAGAAGTGAAGTGAAGAAAGAGAAATTGGGCTTGATTAGATTAAAAGGACAAGTAAGGACTAAGGACATATTTAAAGTACAGATCAGGTGGCAGTATTTTGTAGAAAGAAAGGGACCAACTGCAGACAACTCGCACCCGGCGCGTCACTGGCTCCATGGCATCACCGTATAGACCGTATCATCAACGGTCGAGGGGCATATTAATAAGTAAGTTTTGTGTGAAGTTTACAGGACACCATGGTTTATTAATGTTATACAGCCCTAGTACTTGTGATTAATAGTCTTTTACGGTAACTATATCAGACAAATTTGCTTGTACCATTCCTATCTCCATATAACGTGTACCTGATTATGAAATACTGGTGAACCTTCCACACCTATTAAGCATACACAATGTTCAGTTGCATTTGTAACATACCATGCCGGGTGGTCAGTTATGATAATTGCAAATAAGGTAGAAATAAGAGTTGGTACTTACAACAACGTTTATCACGTAATGATATATATTTCAGAAAACTAAGTGAGTTATTTTTTATTTATTTTAGAGCACGACAGACACAGCACATGTTATTGAACCAGGCAAGAACTGTGAGAGTCATGTGGTCAGGATAATCAGATGTTGAAGATTGCTAAGTGTATATTAATCTCTTATGTCCTTGGTTATTTTGTTGTTTACTTAATTATATCAGGAGTCAACAGATGGTATTTTTGTCTGGGTGTCACTTACAGTATCAGGCTGACACCTGTTTTTCATATCATTTACTCAGATCACAAATGCAAGTTCGTCTGTGATGTGTTTATTTGTTGCATTTGTGTATAACTGTCAATAAAATGCAATGATTTTGTGAAAATTTCAACTTATTATGTTATATGTTGTCTATTTTAATACTTTCTTTTGTCATCTTTCCTGTCATTTAAGTCGGATCTGATCACAATGAAACTTACATTTTGTGAATGCTATCCATTAGTTTCTATAGCATCATTTTCATAAGTAAATAAATGAAGAAAATTAACTTTATGATCAAACTCGAGCCTTTTGAATTAGTTACTATAAATTTAGTGAAATTAAAACAAAGATGCAGGCAAGTCTAATGTTCTGATATGCCATCCATCAGTAATTTTACTTCTTTATAAATAAAGTTTAATAGTAAAACATTTATAAAGAAAAATTAGTTGCAGTTATAAAGCTTTTGTTGTTCAAACGAAATGAAATGACCAGTCAATGAAGAACAATAAAAAATGAACAATATCTTTAATATGTCTATTTTTCATCCACTGGCATGTTTAGACAAGCATCTCTTTAAAATCCCAAAGACAGTAATATAAATTGACAATTTAAAAATGAAAAAGAGTGGATAACTATATAAAGTTCTTGACATCTACATCAGGGAAATAGTGAAAATGGAAGTTTGTAGCCTAAGAATGAAGCAATTAAGCCCTCGACAGCACTGGATTACTTTATTTACAAATGTCCAATACCAGTAGAATGTACATGGACCTACATGTACTTTCAACATTGATCTCATTGAAAGCAAAACAGTCATGCCACTCCCATAAAGTGAAAAAAGGTTGCAAATGAATCTCTGCAAAGGCCATAAAGGTGATTAAATATAGTTGTGAAAGTCCATCATTCCTATTCAAAATGAATAACAATACTGCCCCTGTTATATAAACAAGTTTTTTTAAGTTTATATGTACACTAAGGCATTTGATCTTCAAAAATCCATCCCTGCAGCTAGAGGATTCAAGTCAATTTAGACTGGTTTACATTTGCCAAGCAATGTGATCCATCTTTATCCCATAGTTTGCATGTGAACTTATCCAGCCCCCTTTACCGGATATGTCCAATATGATGCTAGAGCCACAGCATGTTTTATATGGCATCCCCACTGAAAAAAGGAATAATTTATGTTCACTCACAATAACAAATTTGACGTGCCGGATACTAAACATAGCACTATAGGATGAGAGATTGAACTTCAAACTAAAAGTGATAATGATAGCCTTTTAGTTTGTGAATAAAACGATTCAGAAACATCAGCTGACAAAACCTATCATACATCAGTAATATATTAACAGAGATGTGATATACACTTCATTACAAATTAAGAAATATTTCCTTACCTGGCAAAGTTTAACATTGGCCACATGAATAATTGGAAGCTGCCTGGGCATCATCCGTCCGATTCTCATTCAATCCTAGCCACTTTCATCTAAAAGGCATGCGTATCAACGGGCATGGTAACTAATGTCATTTTCCTGTACCACAAGCATCTGGTGATGTAGCCTGTTTAACGCGACCTTTGCTGCGTAGTACGTCCTCCGGGCAAATTTTGCTTTGCAAGCGTCATCGGCTCTTAGCTTGGCAAATTCAACATGTCGGTTGTACGTACATATAATATAAATACTTTTTCTTTATAAAGTGAAAAAAGAACAAGCCTGTAGCTAAAAAAATGTGTAAGTTCAGCTATTTTTCAAGTAAAAAAATCGCTGCTCTATTTCCTTGTGGTCTCCATATTTAAACCCCACCTCAAGGTAGATCTCGTAAAGTCACGGGGAAACTTGGTCTTCTCGTTGAGAACCTACCCTGAGAACCCAGACAGCCTCTATTGTCACCAAAACGCATTTTTCAAGGCTCTTTGCGAACACTAAACCAGTTTCAGCAGGTTAGGATACCAGACGACCTATAAGGAAGCTACTGTAAACAACAAAATAGTGTGGTCTGTACACGGTATCTCTAATGAATTGGGGATCTTGGCCGTTTCTGGGTAGAACACTGAAACCGCGAGGTTTTCTTTATTGAGGTCAGATTTCACATTAGCCGCTTAACTGGTCAAAACAGACAGACATCCTGAAGAGGCCTACAAGTATGCCGCTTCTAAGTGACAAGGATCATTGACAGCGTCAGTATTTCGAGTGGATACCACATTGATGCCAAAATACCAATTGTGTTCATCGATGAAATAAAGGAATAATCTGGTAACCACTTGACTATCATTTGATAGTGGGCATCATAGGAACAATTTTAGGTTGCACGATAAAATTGCCGGTTCACACATGGCACTTTTAATAGCAGATAACTTACAGAACCAAGGGAATGAGCAGCTACCTTGGTCATCAAATGAGAACCACATAGACAATATGTGGGTTGGGCATTACTCGCCAAACCAACGGCCTGTATGTCCCACAACAAAACTGAACCAAATTGGACAAGTTTTGACCGTTGTCCGAAATTTTATTCCAGATAGAAACCTAAAAATCTATCCTAACGAATGCCTTGCCACTTGAAATCTCTGGTAGCAGCCAGATGAGGTCAGGCGCAACAACGACCGTTGCTGTGACTAGACACTGACATGAGGGTCATTTGTGGGGCGTGAAACTCTTTTAAAGACGTTAATTTGGAAAATAAGGAGATACATTCGCTTTTAATGGTTGTCGTATGACTGAGAATAGGCAATGTGTTTTTGTTTGCTTCACTGGCGAATTCAATTACTGAACTGATGTCACAATGACATCAAAGAGATTATCAAAAGGTTATTAAACCACGATTTTAATGCTTATTTCCATTTACCGGTCAGCAAAATAAGAAAAAAACTGATGAATTATGATTCCACATTAAATGTCAAGTCTGTATTTTTGATACCTCCATCCAAATATGTTTGTTGTCGTCCGGGGTCCAGAACCACATGCGTCTTTCTGGACAGAACGTAAATCTCACGCTCTCGGAACTTTGGGAATTCCCCTTCTCAGCTAAGATAAGATAAGATAAGAGTTTATTTAGCCAATTATAAAAATCGGAAATCATTTTCCATTGGAGCAATATACAGAGTAAAATAATAAAATAATAAATAAATAAATAAATTAAGAATTTAGCTTTGAGATCAAATTAAAATGCGTCACTGCACTTGGATAAAAGCTGTTTAAAAAGCGTTTACTGCCTTTAAAAGTTAAAAGTCTACTGTTGCTTGGTGAAAAAGTAAAAAGAGAGGATGCAGGATGGAAAGCGTCTTTCATGGTGCTGACAATTCTTTTCTCCATCCTGTCCTTAAAAATATCATCCAGCTTGGGGAGATCTTGCCCGATAATCCTGCTTGCAGTTTTTACAACGTTTGCTAATTTCTTCCTTTCCTCCCCAGCTGTTCCGCTATACCATATTATAATTCCGTACGCTAGAATGCTTTCAATTACACACCTATAAAAATTGACTAAAATAGGCACACTATCAGTAAAAGTTCTCAATGATCTTAAAAAATACAGTCTTTGCCGTGCCTTCTTTACACTCTTTACGGTGTTATCTTTCCAATTCAATTTACTGTTAAGGTGTATACCAAGTAGTTTAAATTCCTCTACCCTACTAACTTCATCATTACCAATGGTGAGTGGTACCTTTACATTCTGATTCCTTCTAAAATCCACTATCATTTCTTTGGTTTTAGCTACGTTCAAGATAAGATCATTACTCTCGCACCAGCTTAACAACGACTCAACAGATTCTCTATATGTACTCTCGTCATTATCAGTGACTAGCCCCACCAGCGTAGTATCGTCCGCAAATTTCATGAGAAAAGTCCCATCGCTTACACTAGTGCAATCGTAAGTAAAAAGGGAGTAAAGACAAGGTGAAAGGACGCATCCCTGTGGTGCACCGGTATTTAAGACTGTTATTTTTGAGCTAAATGAGCCGACTTTAACAGATTGTCTTCTATCTAAAAGAAAGTCTAAAATCCAGTCACAAATAAAAACAGGTAGCTTAAGATGGTTTAAAAGTTTCAAATATAGTTTTTTTGGCACAATTGTGTTAAAAGCTGAACTGTAGTCAATAAATAAAATCCTTGCATAAGAGTTTTTGTTATCTAAGTGTTGTAATGATGGAAGAAGAAACGAAGGTTACTGGAGGAAACGGTTTCTGTTATCTTAACTTTATATTCAGCACAGTATTCTTTGATATATCGATAAATTCATCGTGTCCTAGTGCGTTTTCAATATTTCGTATCCATTTTTGAACGATCACCATATATCTATTCAATGCGTCATCTCGAATTTCACTGTATTTTACCAGTGATGACATTTAAATGGCATTTTCTATAAAGGTTGTCTATCTGAAATAACTGTCTATTCAAAGTTAAAAAATGCTTTTTATATTAAACAAGTTATCAAATTAAATACAAGAAAAAATCATGAAAAGACTGAAAAATAAAAGCGTATTAGAAATAAAAATTTCCTTCAAAAGCAACATAAATAGTACTTGCAAAATAGTACTTGCACTACATTGTTTATATAGTGTATACAGCCGTTAATAATTTTTATAGGGCATTATAATTATACTAACTTACCGCCCTTCACATAAAGTGACTTCATCAGTTTTACTAATATTTGCAATTTCTTCTTATTTTGAATCTCCACCTTCAGAGACACAGGTTTTCCTTTGGTGATATCGGGGGTTAAGAGCAACTTTTCCAAACACTTCTCTAATTGTCCACTTTCACTGCTTTCCAATAATTTCTCCAGCGACTCCCAACCAATGATATTCATATCTATGATGACGCTTCCCACAGAAAGACGGTGATCTGCAGAGCGTATATTCATATTACCAAAGGTCACGGCAACATCTCTTGGGTCAATATATATTGCCCTGTGTTCAACTAAATGTGCTATTCCTTCTTCCCCTGGATCTTGTACTTGAGCAATAACCGCAACATGTGTACCTGTTTAAGGAACAATTAAAAACTAAAAAGAGGTGAGGAGGACTGAAGCCCCCACATATCTCGTGATTCTTCAGTTAATTTGCAACACAAACTGTATATAAGTAGAGACATACAAAAAAGGTGAAACGAAATCATTCTGATTGCCTTAATACCTAATCTCGGATCATTACGTCATAACTTATCTTTTAGCAAGATAAACTATATATATGTATATATATAGAGAGAGAGATAGAGAGAGAGAGAGAAATGTTGTAGGGGGTCAACAGAGCACAGTATGGGTGCTGATGTACAAATGTTTTTTACGTAAGATTCTTGTTAAAACATTTTTCTTTTTGAAAAGAACACGCAACACATGAAGAATCAACAAAGTGATAATCCAATTTTGAACATAAAATACGATAAAAAATATAGAGATTACTTTAGGATTTCCAAATTAAATATCTCAAGATCTTCTACTACATACTTGAATTGGGTTCTGTGTTCAAAATGTTGGACGTTTCATTTACTTCTTGAATGGGAATATTGGGAATAAACACACATCCCTCTCGGGGATAACGCGGATCTTGGTTATGCTGCTCTTGGACTCCCCGCCCTTGGTTTTGTTGCCCTTGGTCTCCCCGCCCTCGGTTTTGTTGTCCTTGGTCTCCCTGCCCTTGGTTTTGTTGCCCTTGGTCTCCCCGCCCTTGGTTTTGTTGTCCTTGGTCTCCCCGCCCTTGGTTTTGTTGTCCTTGGTCTCCCCGCCCTTGGTTTTGTTGTCCTTGGTCCAGTTGCTCGTGACCTGGTTGCTCGTTATTATGTGGAATGTTGCCATTGGGTTGAAAGCGAACTGATTGGACCGTAGAAACTCTGTTGTGGGTCTGTATGCAACCCATGGGCAATGAAAATGCGCATGCTCTTTAAAAAGAGAAAGAATTGCAGAAGATAACTCTGTGAATGATGGCAGATTCTCGTCAGACTATTTAAAAAATTTAAACCAAGGTAAAATATAAATGAATGATTAAAACTATGAAGCATTACAGGTAACCTGTTTTGGAAACTTTGGATTAAAGTCATAATAACTCTTCGTTTTGGCCAAAAATACGATTTTCCTGGAAAAAACGGCAATTTTCCCGTACTTACCAATGGTCAACGACCCCATTCCTGCATTCAAAGTTAATCCATGGTTTTTTCCTAAACGTACGGTTTTTTGTTAAAATCTCTTAAGAGATTTTAACTGACGGAGCCCTCTCTCTGACATGGCAGTCACGCGATATCGAGCGATAGTTTCTGGTGACCTACTTAGAACCGCGGGAAAAACAGACAACAACAACACTATATAACCAAGGAGTTATAACAGAAGGAGATTACACGCAAGCCTTTCTATTGTCCGATGTCTGTTACGGTGGGCGGAGCTAGCTACGGGGGGCCTCCTGTCTTGAAAGGTTTCGTCTGGGTCGCTCTCCTCCGCTTGGAGATTGATTTTATATGCGTTATTTCGCGTTAGAATTCGACATCAGTAGTGTCAAAGCGGCGCTGTATGCTGACGATTTTTTTCACAGGTAGGTATTTGGACGATGTGCTGGGAGGGAACGATATCATAGAAAGCGATTATAAGGTGGTGACTGAGGATGGTCGCCATGAGTTTTTTTTGAGTCGGTGATAGACGGCTTTTCTTTTGCACAACACAGTGAAAAATCACCAAGGATAAGTCAAAAGAAAACGTCCCAACTGCAGTTTGTGAAAATGACATTCAAGTGAACGTCTGTCCTCACTGCCAAAGGGCATAATATTAATACATAAACGTTTGGACCCCCCTGCCCTTTGGTCCCATAAACATATACATTGAGACAGTGCCTATAAGCTTTGTGACTGGTTTTAAATTTCTTTAAGTATTTTTTTCTCTCACTCGGTATAATTTTAATATCATAATGCATTAAAGTGAAATTTAATCAAAGGTTGAGGCAATGCCACGACATGTCAGTTAACTAAATACTCGTTATAAATTTCTTTATCTTGGAAATCTCCCTTTTTATTTTCAGGATTATTTTGACACATACTAACACTTCTTATTTGTCGGTAAACAAATGCACAGTGCTAAACATTAAGAATAATTTTTATTCATTCATAAATATATTTATGTACAAAATATATCAGAAATGTTAGTATTAACTGAGCTCTTTAAGGTGAAACAAAGATGAGAATTTTGAATTTCAAACTATTATTTACTATATTAACTTAAAATATCTTTTAAGTCAACTCTATACTCAAGCATCATGATAGTAGCATCTGTGAGTAAAACCATTTTATTCTATCAATAGAAGAACAAAAACAAAATTTTACACATAAGCAGTAATTAATGAAGTCATAAGAATGATTAAGTTGATATAGTTTTCCAAGTTTTATGCAGTCTGTGTTGGAATTTTTTTCAACCGTGCAAATAGAAATAATTATATTCTTTTTTATCTGACTTGCTGATACCAGTCTGTGCCAGATACTATTCTACTCACAGGCCAGCAAGGTCTGAGAATCTAATGGGCCGAATGAAAAAAAAAAAAAACCTAGAAGATAAAGTGGCTAATTCTTACAAATAGGATAAAAAACATGGGATTTTCAAAAGGTTATAATGAATCAAGACAACACTTAGTAAGAACATTTATAAAATGAACTGGAGTACATGTTACAGCTGAAAAAATTAACTTGGCCAGTATGTGACTGCTTTAAAGAAATTTCACTGAAACAGTCCAAATTTTACTGGCAATCAAGTAGACTGTTATACCATTGCACTCAACAAATTATATATAGGTTTTTAATTTTTTTCCACGTGACAGTAACATAAAATTTATGTCAACTTTTGAAATGTATAGAGTCAGTTAGGTGACTGAAAATATTTTAAAATGTCATGAAGGAGCACTATTAATTTAATGCAATCTCTGTTGGCCAGTCTTATCCAGTTTCTTCTCCAAAAAGGACAACTCAAGTGAGAATTTCTTCAGGGCCTTTTCTTCTGCCTTGCCAATGTCATGCCACTCAGAAAAGAGAGAAACCTGTAGGTTAGAAAAAAAAACAAAATAATAGCATTATGAACTACTAGTATCCATGTAGACATTATGGAATTACGCAGTGAAGTTTAATGTGTCTTGTTATGACTTGACTGAAATAATGTTCACCACATAAATGAACAATTTACAACTAAATTTATATAGAATATCAAGATTCATGATCACAAGCTAATAACCCCAAGAAATTGAAAGAAATTGTACTTATTACAAGAAATTATTTAAATCCGCCCTGGTTCCTACTCTTCTGACAGGACAAAAAGGGGATTTCAGAGAGGCTGGTTGCTAAAAGGAAAATGCCCAAGGTTGTTGTATTTTGAAAAAAAATTTAAAAAAGGGTACTGTTGTTAGTGAATGTTTAATGCATTGTAGGCATTATGACAAAAGTAACTTACCCCAGACACGCTGACCTCCTTTTTTCATTGACATTTTTAAATTTTTTCCAGCCTGACCATAATTCATGTATTCAATGCAGCCTTCTCCCATATCTATAATAGAATAAAAAAAACTTGAGTAGTGTTAAGATAAGCATGTAAAATCCATTATCAATTTTGAGAGAATTTCTGTTTCAACACTGCAAGATGAAATATTTACTTTCAAGTAATGAATAAACCTTAATAGAGTTCTATTCTTTAGTAACCACCAAGGCAAAGCTTCTTTCTTAAAATGAACAGAAATATCCAAGCTTGCCACCTAACATGCCAAAGTAGTGAAGTATAATTAAAGTAGAGAAGCAAGTACCCCTTAATTATAGAGGTGTCTTACACAATAAGGTGTGTCGAACACACCTTGACTCAAAGGGAGATGTGTAGTGAGATAACAGGTTAAGTAATTGGTATATCCTAGGTGAACTTAAAACCTTTAGACTTTAAATTAAAAGCACCAGGATTCATATGTGTTCTTTTTTCAAAGGTTTAATATAAATTAAAACACATATATGTAAAAAGAAGACTAAATAAGTTAAAAATAACTATGCCATAAAGTCAAACTTCCTGTTAGACCGCCATGATGGAAAATGCTGGGTGGAGGCAAAATTTTCCAGTCAAAAAAACTGAGCACTTTACTTTAACAACAAAGTTACCACTCCAAAGCCACCCACCATGGTGAGAAGAAAAATGATGACCAACTGTCATGATAAGTCTTTTTAGATTTAAACATGAAAAAGGTAAAGGCCAAAATGGTACATTTACCCATAACACTAGAGTAAAAAATTGGTATTCTGAACAAATCAGGTTATTTTTTTCAAGAAATATTGGAGCAGTATCCATGCAATATATACCACGCCACGACCAAGATGTTCAAGAATCTAAACACACCAAATTTTTTTATAATCTTGCATTTGAAAAGTACAAAAAGCGGTAAGGCTTTTGGCCGTAACAAGCGTAACACTTTTTGATCGGAACTCATGAAAATTGTCAATTGTCGTATCCAAGCTAGACCACATGTAAAATCGCAAAAAAAAAACAATACTGCTCAAGCAAGTGTGTTGCACACATAACAATTAGTTAAATTTTATGACTGTCATGTGACACAAGTTTCAAAAAGTAGGAGGAAAATGTCTTTTGGAGTAATTTTTTTTCGAAATATTAACAAGATGGCGGCTTAAGCATCTGCTTGTTATTCGGCTACTGAAAGTGCACCTAAGTTTTATTCTTTGCTATTGCCACAAATTACTTAACAATTGCAACTGTATAAAGACCAAACTTTCTTCATCTGATACTATATTTATAGGCACTTGTTATGAGTGGGAAATATTTTTCGTGCAATATTTATTCTCCACACACCACCTCGCGAGATCAACGTGTAGCTGGACACTTACACAGTGAGACCCTACGACATAAAAGTTGCAATTTATCTTCATATTTCGTGTAGTTATGCATTTAAAAGCACTTACCTGTTTTTTGAAAACCTTGTCCAACGTAATATCATATAAATTCTGTAATTCTCTCATTTTAAGAAACTTTTGACTGCGTTTCTGTTTGTGTCCTCTCCAAACGACAGACGAAGGCATCTATTCTGACAAACGAGATTTAAACGAGAGTAACAATTAAGCGTAACAGAGATAGGCATCCATTGTTCTCTGGGTTCTATTCATTCCGACCAATGAGAGACCGTAATACGGGCTCCACCCCCACGCGTGTAATCTCCTTCTGTTATAACTCCTTGATGGAATTAAGTTTTATTTCAATTGTAAACTTGAAGTCACTTGCTAAGGGTGATTTCCCAGAGATTTAGATCAATCTAAAGATTAAGTTTTAGATCGACCTAACTCCCTGGGGGTTCACGCTAAATTGCAGTCAGCCAAGCGGGCACCATAGTTAATTACCCCCTTACAGCTTTTAGTAGGCGGGACAGACGCTTAAGCCGGCCAAGCTTACAGTAATCTAGTGAGACTCCCCAGAGGGATAGATTGATCTAAAAATCTATGGAAATGGGATGTTAGATTGATATGGAGTTGACGTTCCCTTTATTTTTCTTTGTTATTTCAGAACGTTCAAGGAGACTATGAATTCACTGTGTCCAGATAAACAATGGCAGACCAAACTTAGTAGTGCAGGATTGGTTTATGTCCATTTTGGAAAATCTATTATTGCACAACTACTTAACAAAAGCCCAGAAGACCCAATCACAAGCAGCATTTTTGACAAAGTTTATGAAAATTTTGTGGAAGAAATTGATGCTATAGACAATGGAATCTCACAGACTGATGGCGTGCCAAGGTACAATTATGTGTTGCATAAGAGTAGCTCCACATATTCAGGGCACATTGAAATTAAGAGTTCATGTTGTTTTACATATCAGAAAAGATTGTGTGTGTGTGTGTGTGTGTGTGTGTGTGTGTGTATGCGCGTGGGTGTCAGTTTAAAGGTCATTATTTGTATGGCTTTCTTTTTTTCTCTTTATTGGATGAAAATAGTTGAAAAAATAATGAAGGTTAAAAAAATGTTTAAATGCAGAGTTATAATGGGCAGAGACCCTTGACTATAATCAAGGGTGACTGCCACCAATAAGAGATTTCAGCAATTATATCTCATGCAACTTAGAATGTCTTCATTTGAGGTTACGCCTGCTTTTTAGTATGGAGTACATATTATAATTCATGAAATTTGCCTTTTTCAGGTATCACATAAGCACTACACTCAGCAGTAGAGTGAGCTATTTAAACCCAGCATGGAATCAGGGCAATGTGGATGCTGATGTAAGTGTTAGGAGAAAGGTGTATCATTTTTATGTCTCATGACATATTTTACATCAGTGATAAGACAAACCGTATCATTCAACCTTAGTTTTTTTTAAACTTTGTTATAAATATAATTAATCTTTTAATAGATGAGCAATGTTTTGAAAATTTGGACAAGGTGCAGTCTTTAACTTAAGCACCAGTTTCCTCTCTTACTGCAAAACTGGTGTTGTTTATGCATAATTTTGCTCTTTATATTTAAGACTAGGTTTCATAAAGCTATGGAAATGGTTGGAGCAGAGTTCTTGGACAGGGTCTCCTATTACACTGATTCATGGCTGCCAGCAAGAACCCTTGTGGAAAAAGCACTGGCAGGTCGCTTCAAGGTAAGGCAGACATTATTTTGTGCCATAACATTCAATTTTCTTTATACTAAAGATTCAAGGAAAACTTATTTAACTAATGAATTGTTTTAAAATTAAAATTGAACTTCTGTGCCATAGCTCTAATGTATCATCTAGTTGCATGGTTTAATGTATAATAATTACACAATTTAGACGTGANCACTGATAGGGTTCTATTCTTTTGTAACCACCGAGGCAAAGCTTTTTTCTTAAAATGAACTGAAACATCCAAGCTTGCCACCTAACATGCCAAAGTAGTGAAGTATAATTAAAGTAGAGAAGCAAGTACCCCTTAATTAGAGGTGTCTTACACAATAAGGTGTGTCTTACACACCTTGGCTCAAAGGGAGATGTGTAGTGAGCTAACAGGTAAAGTAATTGGTGGAGCCTAACACCCCATTTCCATAGATTAGATCGACCTACTTTGGATCGACCTAACTCCCTTGGGGATTCGCGCTGAATAGCTGTCAGCCGGGCGGACACGAAAGTTAATTGCCCCTTACGGCTTGTAGTGGGCGGGGACGGACACTTAAGGGGGATTATCTGACGGTAGTCTGGTGAGACTCCCCGCGGTGATAGATCGATCTAAAGTTGTGAGAATAGACCCTAGGAGAACTTAAAACCTTAAGACTTTAAATTAAGAAGCACCAGGATTCATGTGTGTTCTTTTTTCAAAGGTTTAATATGAATTAAAACATATATATGTAAAAAGAAGACTAAATAAGTTTAAAATAACTATACCAAAGACACTGTGAAGTCAAACTTCCCGTTCGACCGCCATGATGGAAAATGCTGTGTGGAGGCAAAACTTTTCCAGTCAAAATAACTGAGCACCTTACTTTAACAACAAAGTTACCACTCCAAAGCCACCCACCATGGTGAGAAGAAAAATGATGACCAACTGTCATGATAAGTCCTCTTAGTTTTAAACACGAAAAAGGTAAAGGCAAAAATGGTACATTTACCCATAACACTAAAGTAAAAAATGGGTATTCTGAACAAAACAGGTTATTTTTTTCTAGAAATATTGGAGCAATACCCATGCAATATATACCAAGCCACGACCAAGATGTTCAAGAATCTAAACACACCAAAATCTTTTATAATCACGCATTTGAAAAGTGCAAAAAAAAACGTTCAGGCTTTTGGCCGTAAAAGCGTAACACTTTTTGATCTGGACTCATGAAAATTGACCCTTGTCGTATTCAAGCTAGACCACATGTAAAATCGTAAAAACCAACAATACTGCTCAAGAAAATGTATTGTACACACACCAATTAGTTAAATTTTATGACTGTCATGTGATACAAGTATCAAAAAGTAGGAGGAAAATGTCTTTTGGAGTTTTTTTTTTTTTTTTTCGAAACATAAACAAGATGGCGGCTTATGCATCTGCTTGTTATTAGGCTACTGAAAGTGCACCTAAGTTTTATTCTATGCTATTGCCACAAATAACTAAACAATTGCAACTGTATAAAGACCAAACTTTCTTCATCTGATACTATATTTATAAGCACTTGTTATGAGTGGGAAATATTTTTCGTGCAATATTTATTCTCCACACACCACCTCGCGAGATCGACGTGGAGCTGGACACTTACACAGTGAGACCCCACGGCATAAAAGTTGCAATTTATCTTCATATTTCTAGTAGTTATGCATTTAAAAGCACTTACCTGTTTTTTGATAACCTTATCCAACGTTATATCCTCTGCACTCTGTAATTCTCTCACTTTAAGAAACATTTGACTGCGTTTCTGTTTGTATCCTCTCCAAACGACAGACGAAGGCACCTATTCTGACAAACGAGATTTAAACGAGAGTAACAGAAAGCGTAACAGAGATAGGAACCCATTGTTCTCTGGGTTCTATTCATTCCGACCAATGAGAGACCGTAATACGGCTCCGCCCCCACGCGTGTAATCTCCTTCTGTTATAACTCCTTGCCTACACACAATAGATGGGAAGTAATTAAATATATTCATAAAATAGGTAAATTCCACTTTTTCGGAAAGATTTTTTCAAACACCCCTTTTTTGATCAAATTCTTCCTGTTTAAGATTTCCGAAAGCAATTCCTTTTTCTAAAGTTTTATATTCTATATACATGTAAGTTGATGGAACTACGGGCGTTTTAAATATGATAAAAGATATGTTTATTTTCACGGCTTACAGTAGGCCTAATATTTTTAGGATCTTGAAGTTCACTATTAAGTCAACGTCTGTGCCAAATGTTGTTTCTATCTTGTCTAGAAATCAGTAGGTGTAGGGCCTAAAATTTCGGGAATTTACTCCTCGAGTATCGGTATCCGGTGTTGTTCATCTCAAGGAAGTACATGATGTATGTTAAAATGCCATACAGATTTTCAGCGCAATCTGCTGTGCTGCTGAATAGAGATTCCGCAGCAGTGAATTTCGTATTACTTTTAGGCCTACCTTTGACTGATTAAATAGGCCTACATCTGTTTTTTCATGAATTTCGAATACAATAAATATATTCACTTTAATCAACTTGAAGAGTTTATTCATTCACTTGACATCAGTGCAGGCACTGCTTGTGGTGATAACCCTAATGGGCAAAAGGGTTTACACGTGTCTTGTTGTTCTTATAAAAAGTCCTAACCCCTGTAACGCCTTTAAATGGTAGGCCTACCCTCTAATATCAGAGGCCTCTAAATTAATATACAAAATTAAAGTATAGGGGTGATACAATAATGTTGTAACAGACTACTAGCGCGCCCCGTGATCAGAGAGTAAATAGATGGTTCGTGCAGGCCAGAAATGCCAGTGAGCTGTCCGGGTGCCTTCCTTTTTCTATATTTTAGAATCAAAGAGGCGATCCTGTAAAAATCATGAGATGACGTTTCAAGCCTATAAATAATCTCCTCTTGGCTTTGAATCATTTGAACTATATTTCAAAAATAAAAATTTCACAAGGACCGTAGATTTTGTAACATAATACATGGGTTCGTTTCAAGGTTGCTGTCCTCAAAACCAAAAGACCAATTATCACAGTGCTACTAGTCGCGTAAGTGGGTGAAATGTTGAAAAAATGGATTGCGAACGGTGCCATTTGGTACGGTTTAGAACTATGGTTCAGCTTGTCCAAATTCTAATTTCAAGAGGGGAATATTAGTGTGATTTTTTCAGAAATCGAAGGGGGGGTCAGGACCCCTCTGACACACCCCTCCCCCTAAAACCGCCACAGTGTTGACGATATTCACAGATATAACTCTGTCTTATTCATGACACAAATCGCTCGTCCTGGAGAATGCACATATTTCACCCGAGGCCCTAGTAGAGGGTGATGACTAGACACCACACTGACACGTTTTCCTCCCAAGATGAGGTGTACAGAGTTAACTAGTTCAGGGTTGCGGAGGGGGGGGGGTAGAGAAGGGTGGAGCTCCCAAACCTAGAACACATTGATTAAGTACCTGAGTCCTGATATTGTCTCTCTTACACACAATACAAGATAAAATATACGTACCGAGGTACTAAAAAGCTAGGCTTTCTTCATCCCAAATGTCCCCTTCAAATATGGACCTGGTACTGAAATGCCCCGATCTGAGTGTGCAATTCACGGGCCTTCCCATGAGGTTGAGCCCTAGAACGGTTGTGAACTGTTTTCTGGTGTTTTGACATTAAATATATCATTTCTGTCATCAATTTCATATCAACAATAGTAGGCACTACGTAAATGCTTTCAAATTAGCGTAATCTCTCTAAATACAACTTCTTGCTTTATCAAAACGCAGTCAGCATATAGGGTACAACATATTGCACAAAAACAGCTTACATAATGGTCTTCACCTCTCTGTTAATGATCACAAACCATCCAATTCAAGGCTTTTTGAAAAACAGACCTAGTTTTTTTGGTATTTTTAAATAAGTCTTAAACTTAATTTTTTTTTAATATCCTCAGAGTACCAAATGTTTCATTTCATTTTAATTTTAAAGCAATTTTATCAATCGTATCCTCACTTATTGAATTTAACAATTAATATTGTACAATCCAACATTTTTTATTAATAAAGAACTTTCTGCAGCATTTAATGCCATCTGTCATTTGTTACATCTTGAAAACATTACTGTTCAGAGTTTCCGAATATGAATAGGCCCTACGGGTAGAATATCATGGGCGTCCTTCAGGCTGGAAAAAGGAAGCCATGACCTATCGATTAAAACCATATTATATGGAAACCGATGTTTTGGAGAGTATTTATATCTTTTATTATTACATCATTTTTCTAAATCTGTATCTTGCTATGAAAAATTAGATTGAAAATCCCCGACAGTGGCTGGGTCACAAAAATTGTAAAATTTTCGATGGGAACGCTTTAATACGTTCTTAAAAGTGAGAAAAATCTTGCTGCAAAGCTCTGTTGAATTTTTTGGTTTCTTGTCTATGTTGAGAAATTGGTTTGAATGGATTACGAAATGCACCTGACATGAACAACTGATTATTAAAAAGATGTTTTATTACAAAATTTGAAGCTTTTAAGACTGTTTCAACTTGTTATATTTTATCGACAAGCTTATAAGCAACACATTTCACGTAAGGTAAGGCAGATACTGTCGATTTTTGGGGCATTTGGCATCATTGTCTCCAGAAGTCTCCAGAAGTGGTTTACCGTCTTCTGCGGCAGGTGGCGACACTGTGGTTTCGCTTTCCTTGGGCAACTCCGGATAGGGCTTTTTGAAGTTATGGCCACAATCTGAACAATTAAACTCCAGAAAAGAAACAAAATGCATGAAGATACGACATCTGGAATTCATGGATAATGAGCAGTTCATTATGGTTGCTTTTTTCAAAGTCAAGTTCTGTTTTTAAGAAAAAGTAAAGGTACAAGTTTAAAAAAAATCCTTAAAATCAGAAACAGGGATGGGAACGGAGAACAGTTAGAAAAGCTGACAAACCCAAAAGCTGAAATTCCCCCAGTATCTAAACATGTAAACACCGTCCTTCTAACCTGTCACTTTTATTTTAAAAGGAAATTAACCTCCAAGATGAACAAAATTTTCATGTCTGAAAATCACTTGTTGGTGCTTAATGTGGTAGATGAACTACAGTGTACCGATCACATCAAGCTGAAAACATTCAAAAACCGTGGTCGTGATTGGCATCAACCAATTGTTTAAATACGCAATGAATTTGTCACGTACTTGATGTTCCCTGTTCCCTTCAGTCTAGAAAGAAAGCTTAAGAGCAATTGTCTTTGTAATATTTCAAAAACTACTTTTTGAAATCTTTTACAGAAGATTAGTTGTCACAAACTGTTTGCCTTTAAGCCACTGACACTGTTTAGTTAGGGCCGCTTTTTAGCAACGGGTTTCTTCCCTGGAGATGGCACTGTTGCTGCGCGTTTTCCTCTTCCTCGGCCTTTTGCATTTTGAACTTCCTCCTCTTCATCTGTATCTGAGTCGTCGTCCTTGACCTTTCTTTTGGTGGCACGCCCCTTTGGTTTCTTTGCTCCTTCCTCTTTCACGGTTTTCTTCGAGTTTTTCGACTTTCCTTTTAGGTCCTCCGTCGAGGAAGCACAATCTTTATCATTTTTCTTGGCTCCCTGTGCTTTTCCATGTTTAACCTCTTTTCCTTTCTTTGAATCCGCACCCGCAGTTGCTTTGTAGCGCTTCAAGGCCTGTAAAAATATATAGATACCATCAGTGCAAAAATACAATGAATGGTTTCTTTCAGTTTCTTTAAAACGCCTTTTTTTTTAATATTGACATGTGCAGCGTGTTACCGTAAGAGAGATTTGGCGATAAACACGAAAGAATTCCTTTTGTAACAGTCATCTGGCTATTATTTTACTTTTTTTCTCGTCAACGTTGGCTAATAATTGAACATAAATCACTGACAGCCACAAAGAATCAGTCATTCGACTAACAGTTTCGTAGGCGCGGGGGGTGGGGGTAGGGGTCCGGGATAGGGGGTCCAAAGACCCGCCCATCTGACAGGAAAAGGTCTGATCTAAATGAAAAATTCAATTTATAGGTTCTATATCAAAGATTCTCAAGTTGGGTCAACTCAGAGGATAAAAAGTCCACTTTTTCAAAGAAAAAAACTCTGAAATTGCTTACTATAGGCCAGTAATAACATGCGCCCCTTTCCTAAAATAAATTTACGATTTCCCCATCACTACTTACCTCTGTCCAGCCGCCGGCTCCTTTCCAAAATGACCAGTGATAGCCGTCCGTATTGATAGCAAACTCTAGGGATTCGATCAACTTTTCGAATAACTTATCGTCCGGTATAGGGTCCAAGCGCAACACCTACGTACACAATAAAGGTGCAATGGAAGTTCATCAATAAGCTCTTTCAATTTTATTTCCATTGAAAATCACTGAGGTACAGTTTGAAACTAACGCGGCCTCACATTTAAGGAAGTGACATGTAGCATTAAGCGTTTTATCTCTTATAATAGTTGCCAAGATGTTTCTAAACCAGGGTCAAAAAAAGGAATTTCCTTGTTCCATATATAAAGAGTTATTTACGTGTGGTATATATGAGTTATTTACGTGTGGTATACATGATACCTGCACATCAGGTATAATGAAATATATATTACCTTAAACCAATCTTCATAGGATTTCATGGTCTCAATTTTGCTACAAGCAGCCTTCATTTCAGCAACCATTTTAGTCGTTGGAAATCCAAAGTTTTCGTCATACCGCTTCACAACGTTATCTCTTGTCATACTTTTTGGCATAGCAATGTCCAAGAATAAAACCTGTAAACCAGTAATTTCAATGTTTATCGGTGATAATTTTTGCACTTATAAATATCTGAAATATAGAATTTTACTTGCGAAAGAGGGGCACATAGATTAAGAGCCACTTCACCTAGTTGCATAGAGTTCAAATCATAACAAATAGTGCACAAAAACTTCACTTCAGCATTTGATCTCCCAATATTCATCCCATTAACTAAAAACAAATTTTGCTGTAAATAATAGTTTTTAAATTTTTTTCAAAAATACAAACCTGGAACGCCAGTATCTTCCTGCTTACAGCTGTCGCTTGCAGTGTCTTTTCTAACCGATAGTTTTGCGGCGTGTCCATAAACCCCAGCTTGGCGTCATCTTTGACATACCACATTACGTTACGTCTCCAACTCTCTGACAAATAGGCGTCCGAAGCATCTTGCCATCTGAATGCATTGGTTAATATATAGACAAATATTAAAGCTGTTTTTTTTGGTCTTTTTTCTCTCCTCTTTAGCTTCATTATCATGCCTAGGGTAAACGCGTGTATGAGTGAAAAAAGTAACTACCCATCTCGCACAGCGGTTAAGGCGTTCATTTTACACTAACGAGTTTCAGTCTGTACTTACGTGTATTTATTTGAAGCCGACAGCAACATCAGCCACTCTCCAATGTGAGGGCATGCCTTCTTGCTGCGATGATCTTCATCGGTGATAAATTCCTACAGATGAAGGTTTATATAATCAATTATGCACGAATCTGAGAACATACTGTTTAGAGTGTTAATATTTTCATAAATTTGGGTCAAACTTTTATTATTATTATTTTTCTGGATAACTAAATTATGATAACTGGGATGGAAGTCGCGTGCAGAGTTTTAAAACTCTCCTCTAGGCAAATAAGATCAGAACTGTCTATGTGAAACATATAAGCCTATTCTGTGCATGTTTTGACGCCACAAACCAACACAATTCTTCCATTTATCCCCAAGAGACGCTGAACTTACTTTAAGTTTCTCTTCCAACATGTCTTGCATTTTCGGATACTCCTTCAACGCCCATAGGAACAAGCGATGGAGGGCGAAGTATCCACTCAGGTGGTTATCACTAGCGTGCTGCGTCCCTTTAGAAAACTCGACCACCGTTGCAGCCATGAGGTTTGGTATCACGCGCAAAATTATCGTCTCCATGGGGGTGCTGTCCCTCTTACACCCCGGCAATATTTTAGACACCGCCCTCATCGTTTCTTCAAACGTGGCTTTGATTTCTTCGCCGTGCTTTGGATGAATGTAAAGTGGCAGAAAGAACGCTAGGTCCTCCTTCATGATGCTCTGAACGTTTCCTACAGACTTTTGCATACTGTAGAAAGAATCGCCGGTTAGAAACTCGCACGGGGTGGTCAGAGACGGGCGATGGTCTGGACCTGATTTAATTAAACCGTAGCCATAAAGTTCCTCCCGGCACTTGGGCTTCACAACCTGGGATGGAGAAAAATAGCTTGAAGTAATCACACTCACTCGTGCTGTTTTTTTTTGTTTTTTTTTTTG